GATTTATGTAAATGTAAGGGGAAACAATCCTGAGTCTTAATTGCAGGTTTAACAAGTTGGCTTTTACATATGGTTTTGCTTATATTTAATCTTTATTGTTGACTTTTTAATTTTTTATTTTATTGTTTATTTATTGTATAAGCAAAGTGTAGTCAGAGAAGAAAAATAAAAATATAGATTAGCAAATAAAATTAACTCATAATTCTACCACTCAGAAATAACTATTAACACAAGTATGCACACACAGACACACACATGTTAATTCACACACTTAAATTCTTATTTTGCTCTATGACAAAGGGAATTAACATAAGCTTTTAAACCTAATATAGTACTTCATTATATCAAAAAAATTCATAAAAATGAAAAAGATATTTCGTACTATACACTTCAAAATTTCACAATTATTGTGCTAAGTACTTAATTACCCAACAATCCCTTTCTTCAGGAATGTATAAAGGCGTTATGACAACAAATTCAACTATAATTCAACAAGCTTTATTAAACACTTTTAATTGTTCCAATATTTAAGAAAATATAAAATAAGGACTATATTTTTAAGGAATTATTCCTGCAAGGAGCACACAAAAATTTCAACTTGGGCAAAATGATTGATAGGAAGCAAGAAATACACATTGAATTTCTGATCAATGTCCCTCTTCAGTGTTTCCATTACAAAGTGGCAACAACACTTCCTAACTCCTCCTTCATAACAGTATTATAAAAGCAGATAAATTTCATTATGCACTTTGCTCTCTCAATATTTTTTAAAGTTTGCTGTCACCTACTTGCTATTCCAGTCCTCTGGATAGATGGAATTTCTACTATAGTTTGCAGACACAGAAGATGAATTTTTAAATTTTATATATCTAGAGAGAAATCAATCTTTTTGTGGGGTAGCAGGAAGGACAATTGATGAAGCCACTTTTAACCTACTTTGTAAGTTTGGGCTCTTTTACATTTTTTTCTAACTTGGTTTAGTATCTCCTTAATACTACAAGGTACCTTATACACTGCTGCTTCTTTTGCTTGGAGTTCTCTTCCCCTTCCCTTCACCTATAAACTCCCCTCTTCCTGTGGTTCCCAATCCAATGATCCCTTCCTTAAGGAGGCCTTTGCCAATGCCTACAAGTCAGTTTTCCCAGCTCCCATGTTTGCATATTCCCAGTTTATATCCTCTTTCAAATATCTCAGTTTCCAAGGGAACAAGAACCAAATTCATCTTGTTCAACCAGTAATACTAATGCCTATCATATAATAGGTGAGAAATATATGTGGAATGAGTGAATGCCTGTGGTTGCCTGGTCAGTGAAATGAAGGAGAAATACTGGTCGCTCTCATTTCCCAGGCCCAACATTTCCAAATAGAAAATAATTATTTTATCTTAGCCAAAAGAACCGAAAAACTTATACTATCATACAAGAAATAGATTAATAACGTGGCAAAGCTTGGCTATGTGGCAAAAGAAACACAATGGATTAGAGATAGACTACAATAGACCAACTTTAGTAATGATTTTTTTTTCCTTTTGCCATTCCCTGCATTTTGGTATCTAAAAAAACTTAAGCAAATGGTACAGTTAAGTATGAGGAATACTTGGAAGATCTGGACACACAGCATGTCAGCTGTCACCAAGAACATGAATCCTCAGCTGTTGCCCTTTTTTTCTCCTTAGAAGTAAGTCCTGTCACACAGCACTATAAAAAGGAGGGGGCATGTCAAGAGAAATTTCATTTTGTTCTGATTATCATATTAAGTTACTCATGATCATTGTTTCAGAACACCTCTAAATTTGTTCTCCACGTGTAATTTCTATGAAACTAATAATGCCTATGTGACATACATATACATTGTGTCCAATAGGATCAACCATTTCAAAAAGACCTCAGTGCTATAAATTGTGAATGTTTTTAGACTTTCCTTCTATAATATACCAGACCCCAAACACAAAGAATGTTGACTAAGAATGAGATCTTACACCTCTTTTCTTTGAAGTTTCAGATTTTCTACGTTTTGTTGTTGTTGTTGTCATTGGTTTGTTTTAGTTCTTGGTTGTTTTTTCTAAAATAAACTTTTTATTTTAGAATACTTTTAGATTAGCAAAATAGTTGAGAGGAGAGTTCAGAGAGTTCTTAAGTATCCCACACCAAGTTTTCTCTATTGTTAACATCTTACAGTATATGGTACATTTGTCATAACTAATGAGCCAATATTGATGCATCATTATTAGCAAAAGTCTATGTTTTATTCAGATATGCTTAGTTTTCACCTATGTCTTTTTTGAGATGGAGTTTCACTCTGGTCACCCAGGCTGGCGTGCAGTGGCATGATTTCAGCTTACGGCAACCTCCGCCTCCCGGGTTCAAGCGACTCTCCTGACTCAGCCTCCCGAGTAGCTGGGACTACAGGCATGCCACCATACTCAGCTAATTTTTGTATTTTTAGTAGAGACAGAGTTTGGCAATGTTGGCCAAGATGTTCTCCATCTCCTGACCTTGTGATCCGCCCTCCTCGGCCTCCCAAAGTCCTGGGATTACAGGAGTGAGCCACAGTGCCCGGCCACTAATGCCCCTTTCTTTTCGGGATTCCATCTAGGATACTACATTACGCTTACTCACGATGTTTCCTTAAGCTTTTCAAGGCAGTAAAAGCTTCTCAAACAGTCCTTATTTTGGTAACATTGACAATTTTAAGAAGTTATTGTCAGAAATTTTGTAGAATATTCCCATAATTTGGGTTTGATGGGTGCTTTTCCTCATGATTAGACTGGGCTATGGGTTTTTGGTGGTCAAAGACTACCTCAACCACATGGTCAAGGTTAACATCAAAGTAATGTCATGCTATGCTAAGAGCAGATACCCTTGATATGATAAGAATGGTACTTTTTGATTTCTACTTTGAGGGAAAAATTCTACACCAACATATATTCCTCTGTGCATTCACAAATCAGTAATATATGTAGTTAATAACACAAAGGGATTTAGATATATAGTAGAATCAAGCAATTTCCCTTCATATTATGAAATAAAGTGCTCCTATTTCAAATTTGGGGTATTTGAGTTTTTAAGCCCAAGATCATTGGTGACATTACTAATGTAAAGCATATTTGGAGTGAGTGGATAAAACATATGGATTAATATATTTTATATTGTTTTAATTTCTTTTTTGAATGCAAGGAAGATCAAAATATTTTTGCCCAGAACACATAAATCTCCTTTATCTGTTTAACTTTGTCATAGATTTTAAGGGGTTTGTGCACATGAAACAAAGTATTGATGCAAACTATGAGTTAAAGCAAAATATATCTATCTATCAGTAATTGCAGAAAATCCCAGTCTATCTTTGAATGATCCAAAGGAAAACTGGTGAACAAATTTCTGCTATTTATGAAGATATTTCTGTTATAAACATAGCATTATTTTTAAAATCTATTCTGATTATTTAAATATGAGAATATTCTAGGTAAAATATGTTCAGATTCTTCTGTCTTGTATGTAAAAAATGAGCACCAGCAGCTAAATTTAGGTAATGATTGAGTCCTTGGTATGGGGAAACAAGGGAAAGAGCTATCAAAATGTTTTTCCTGTAACATACATGGATAAAATAATCCAGTAGTTCATGCCACCATGTGAAATAGGAGACTGATTAATTGTGGGTCAATTGTAACTAAGGTGAATTATTTCTGCTCTGAGAGTCTTAATCTTGCTTAGTTGTAATATATGGCAGAAATAGTGACCTTCTCCAAGTTGGTGAATGCTTTTATATCAGACCCAAGAAAGTGGCTAATGAATCTATATCTTTAAACACAACTACATTTAACAATTAGAATATGTGTGTATTTATAATACATTTGTATACTTGTATGGATGTATATATACACACATAAAGTAAATGTATATGTGATGTATATATACCCTTTATATATCTAAAATGTATAAATGTGCTTTTAAAACCCAAACTATTTTTTAAACTAGTTAATAACTACTCATTAATTAAATATTTCACAAGTTAAAACAACAGAAATGAGAGTGGGATTGAGCAATAACTGATTACTAATTGTAATCCCCTCTCTGGGCAGAATTTACCACATGCAAAGTTATAAAGTGCCCATTGGTTGTTTTATATTTCTTAATATGAGTCTAGCCTTGCAAACGGAGGAAACCAAGGACAGAAAAGGAAAAACTTTCAAGTTACCACAACTTGCACAGTGTTGATAATTAAAGCTCTTTTCTCTCTTTATGTCTCTAAAAATGTATTTTGTCTCTCTCATATGGACAAAAGATTTATGTGATAATGAGACTTTGCACCATTTAGAAAATAAATATCTACTTTTATTGAAAGCTACTTTACTATTAGAAAATTTGTTTTGCAAGAAGGTAAATCTTGCTGTCATTTCCATCCATTTGATATGCTCCATTAAATTATACAAAGAAAGTTAAATTATAGGAAGTCATGTTGAAGTTATTTTAGCATAGAATTCACTACAATTAAAGGAGAGAAAGACTGCCAGAATCTGTGCTCCCTAGAAGGGAAGCCACTTTAAGACATGATGGGCTTTCCTTATATGTCTGCTTTTTTATTTTTAACCACCACCACCTCTTTGCTGACCAACACTTCCTTGCAAATTATGGCAATGAGGGAGGAGCATGAGCAAAGAACCTGTGTGAAAGTTGGTGATACTCCCTGACAAAATTCCAAGTTGAAATGGAATCCTTCAGTAAAGTCTCTTAGGCAAGGAGGGAAAAAAAGATTTACGACTTCAGCAGAACTGTAATTCTACCAAGAAAAAGTACAGTCAATCTACCTCACTGTCATCAAAGGATCTGAAGCTGGCACTGTCATATTTCTTTCTCCTTTATATATGGAGGTGTGGGGGGGGGGGAAGGAGAGAGAGTTAAAAAAAAATTGATGAAGCCCTGACCCTTTAGATTCCATTTATAGTCTGAGCCGGAATGCCATCCCCCTTGACTAGAGAACTATCCAATCCAGCCGCATGTGTCAAGATTCTATTAGGCACTAAGTGAAATATATATGCATGCCCTTATACCGTTTAACACTCTGGGTCCACCTTCAAGACACTGGGCTGTGGATCAACCGAACCACCACTCCTCTTCCAAGAATCATTTTGACAGGTTCTTTTGGAGGAACTCCTTCTCTTTTTAACCCACCCTTTAAAAAAAAAAAAAATGGCACCAAAGAAAGACGTGAAGAAACCTGCGGCCGCGGCTGCCCCGGCACCGGCACCGGCACCTGCACCTGCCCCTGCCCCAGCCAAACCCAAAGAAGAAAAAATTGACCTCTCTGCCATTAAGGTAACTAAACGGATGAATTGTGTGGTCACTGAAACATCTTTCAATAGTAAAGAACTCTAGGAACTTGCAAAGGCGTGTATTTTTCATTGAGAGGAATAGCATTATTTAATGAACTGGTAGATTTTGAAGAAGAGAATTCTGCTTTAAAAAATGAATCCCAGCATATAATTTCAAAGATTATTAGAGTATGGTATCATATGTGAAGCCTGTGCTTGCTCTACTTTTTATTCTCAAGTTTCCATTTTTCCCTAAATTGCACTTTTACTATTTAGGAGAAAAGTATATATATTTAACGGTGTTGCATTTAAGAATACTTAAACCAGTGTTTGGGTTTTAAATAAAATCTCTCTGGAAACCAGATCCCTTATCTTACAACTACATCAAAAGGAAAGTTTTAGCCCCTACTTATTTCCAGAAGTTTAAAAACAGCTGATGGCCCAGTTGTCCTGTATGTATTTGACAGCTGCTCTATTTTTTGCAATTCAAGTTAATTCTCCCTTCAGCTTTGCCTAATAAAATTTGATATAACACTAAATGAGATCTCAGTGCAGAAAATTATGCACTCAAGTGTTTCAGTGACTGTAACTGTCATCTTGTTTATTTGTTCACAATATTTAATTCAGAATTTGTGAGTTTCTTCTAAATGAAACTAACAAAAATAATTATAAAACTTGTTATTGCATGGCTTTTAGCTTATGTCTTAGAGTATTTGCATACTGATCTTGAACTAAGAAAAATGTGATTAATTATTGTGTCAACACTTTGCTGTGATCAAAGTTCTCAATTGCCAAAAGATTATCTGCTTTTGGAAAATGGATACGTCTGTTAACTTCCAATGATGTGACTCATTACATGTGCACCTTCTCTTCATTCACTGAGCTCTGATTGGCTCATATCACAATTTGAAAATTTTAATCTAAGGAAACCTGCCTTATATGGAAAACCAATGAGCAAAAGTACCCATGAGGTGATCTTTCCACTTAAACCAAAAGTTGTATACATAATAAATCTCAATTTTGCCAATTTACCATTGTTTACTTGTGACTATGATGCTGACCCGTAAACAAACATTTCATTATTTAATATAACTGAAGAATTTTTTAAGACCCAAAAATATTTAGTTAGATCATCCTTAGACATTATGTAATGAAGTTAAATATATTCATAATTTGTATAACATTCCAGTTAAACATGAAATTTTGTTTAAAATATAAGTAAATTATCACAAATATTTAATCTTTAGCTTGTAGGTATTTGAAGTATTTTAAAAAAATGGTCATAGGATATAATATTGGTTAAGAACTGTTCTTAATGTATATCGATTTAGGAGGACATAAAATGCATGTCAGCTCTTCTGATAAATGTTTTTCTACCTTGAGGACTGCATGTATACAGTTCTTTAAGAGGAAACCAAATTTTTCATCTCCAGCAATCCTAGTTAATGTATCCTTTACATATGCATACTGACTACATTACACAGTGAGATCATAGCCATGATAGTAATTCTGACTGTCCCTCATCTTTAACTCTTCACTCTATAGTAACATTAGAAATATGAATCAGTGTCAAAGCTATTCCTTTTTATACTTATTGTGATTTATAAAACAATGTCATCTTTTTGTATCTGGTATTACAAACTTCTGGAAAGAAAAGAAGATGTACCTCTTTACCTAAGAAGCAAACAAAGTGTCTAATAAAAACAGGCATTAATTTTCTTCCCTGAGGACTGTGTAAGAATGAGTACATAAATAAAAATGTAGTTTGGCAGGTGAGAGATCTCCAAGAAAAGACAAAACATCTCTTTTCTAATCCAGAAATTAAGCCAATTACTTATTCATAGTCAGCAGAGAAACAACACTTTTCAGAATCTTGAAAAATTGTTTATTCTTCTGTCAATATGTTAAATTGAGTTGTACAAGCTCAATACTGTGTAATATTGTGAGGATACAATATGAGTTTGTACAACTAAGCAAAAGAAGGAAATACCCCTGGAGTGTCTCTGTGAGAATGGGGCATGCTCCATCTTTATTATTTCATTGCAGAACAAGAGATGTGATGGATTCCAGTAAGGGACACAAATCAAAAAGAAGTTAAATGACTCTTGAAGAAACAAACAAACAAAAAAATAACCTTTATCTTCCATTCAGAAGGCCCATTTGTAACAGACAAAAAAAAAAAGAGAAACAAACGGAAACTAACACACTTTTGTAAAGAAATGTAAATGTCTTCAAAGCTTTGCGTTCATTAATATGAAATAAATCAGTGCATATTTAGATGTATTCTAGCACAGCCAAGAAACTGATACAACTTGAGAATTTTATAAACTTTAGTTTTATCCCAGGAGGTAACAGGCCTAATTAAAACATACATTAAAACATTTTACATTATGATGCTTTTAATCACTTAATAATGTTTCTAGATATATTACCTCATAAAAGCTATACAATTTTTTCAAGCGGAGAAAATGAACTTTAAAGAAATTAATAAACATACGAGTGCATGTGTCTTTATAGCAGCATAATTTATAATCCTTTGGGTATATACCCAGTAATGGGATGGCTGGCAGCACTATTCACAATAGCAAAGACTTGGAATCAACCCAAATGTCCATCAGTGACAGATTGGATTAAGAAAATGTGGCACATATACACCATGGAATACTATGCAGCCATCAAAAAGGATGAGTTTGTGTCCTTTGTAGGGACATGGATGCAGCTGGAAACCATCATTCTTAGCAAACTATCACAAGAACAGAAAACCAAACACCGCATGTTCTCACTCATAGGTGGGAACTGAACAATGAGATCACTCGGACTCAGGAAGGGGAACATCACACACAGGGGCCTGTCATGGGGAGGGGGGAGGGGGGAGGGATTGCATTGGGAGTTATACCTGATGTAAATGACAAGTTGATGGGTGCAGCACACCAACATGGCACAAGTATACATATGTAACAAACCTGCACGTTATGCACATGTACCCTACAACTTAAAGTATAATAATAATAAATAAATTTAAAAAAAAGAAATTAATAGAGCTGTTATATGCATTCATTAACTTCCCAAAAATTCAACAAAGAACAAAACTTAATTGGATTATAAACTTTCTTTCATAAATCATATAAGATTAGAAACTTAGCTGTCCCTTAGACTTTGAGTAATGCTGTAGTTTAATCATAACTGCCTTTGTGTAGTACTATAGTCACAGCCATGGTAAAATTTAATTTCTCCATAGTATTCCCAGCTAATATCTATGTTTCATATTGTAACATACTATATTTAATAGCCATATATTTGATTCCTCGATAAATCTTGAATAATCTTGAATATAATTAATTAGTTTTATCACCTTCTTAAATGTGCTTTCCAACCTGATTTCCTGGTTAGTTATTAGTTTACAACATTTCTTCAATTGTTCTGACACAAATTTTATGATACTCTCTGAAGGAATGCTTACTTGATGTCCAATCCTAATGGATTTTCTATGAGTACCCTTTTCAACAACAAAGTACTATTGATATTTGAACACTAAAGTTATTGTCCTTGGTGGTTCTAAGCACTCTTTGCCTTCAGAGAGCTAATACTTCCAGTAACAATGCCAGACCAAAAGAACACAGCCTAACAGAATCCGTTACAGGAATTAAAACCCAGCATAAGTATGGTTGTAGGTTCAAAAACAAGAATACACATTGTTCAAAACTGCAACCAAGTAAAATAATGAAAGTAATAACATAACCATGTGCCTAGATTCTAGATCTTCAATGTGTAAGTAAATTTTCTGCATGATGCATGCATTGTATGGCAGTATTGCTGTGAGGTGATGGTATTGTGAATTATGTCTCTCACTGTGCTGTTTGAGTTTTAATTCTCATTGCATTCACCACTTAATCAGGTCAGCCCTGACTAGATATTGTGAGCGGTATTATAAAACATGGTAAACGTACAGAATGCATTGACAGAAACTATCAAATAAGAAATCTTGCTTCAACAATTGACCACATGCTTGGGAAGATTTAAACTTTCAATTTAATGTATAAGGTAGAAATCTAATGTTCCCAAATGCATCTACTTACTGATGGGGATTCAATGGAGGCAGATAGTTGTATATGCATTGTGGCACCCAATTTGTTTTGGCCCAGGTATAGGATTACTTTTGTTCACCTGTAAGTTCTTTTTTCTTATTTTTAACAAGACTAATATAAATCCAGTTTCCTTTAGAAGAATTTCTGAGAAAAATCAAATGAAGTCATGCTCCACGAAAGGCTCTGAAGTTTATAAAGCTTTTTGTAACAATAACCAATATTCATTGTGAATTTACTCTTTGCCATGTTATCTTATTTAATCCTCACAATATTACACTGAAGTTGTGGTATCCACAATTTGCAAGTAAAGAAACTGAGCTTAAAAGAGGGTAAGTGCTATACATATGATCAAATAAGTAGTTAAGTGATGGACCTAGGGTTTAACTTAGCAAGCAAAATCCAGAGTCAACTGTGTTAACCATATCCAAAACTATCACCCTCATTTATAAAAAGTAAGTTACTGTTTCTAAGAATGTGTAAAGGAGCCCTTTTTACTCTTAAGGGTATGAGGTAGAGTGGTTTTTATATTGCCCTGCACAGTCCTGTGTAACCAGAAGAGGGGATGACAGACACATCAGAGCAAGTTCACCAAGACTTTGACCTTGACCGTTCACTACTATTCTGTTCTCCATTTCCCTGTCTTAGCACCTGACAACTTGGGTGTTCTGTTTTACAGAAGGAGGGTGCAATATCAGGAACCTAGAAATATTCCTACTCCTTTTGTTCCATCTTCCTATAGGATATTGTAAATGGAAAATGGATATTTTTAAATGCTATTAGATATAATGAAACTGATTAAGATTTTTTAGTACTTTTGTTCAATTAAATACACATACATCAAATATGACCTTCAATTTTTGCCATCAGGCTAATATTCTAAGGAGGGTATGAGATCTCTATTTACAAATAAACAGCATTATTTAAACTGGAAATCCCAACCTATATTCTTTGGGATGGTATGCAGAAATACAATGCCACATGTATAATATGATAAAATCTTAACCCTAACTACTGTGAGTAAAAGAACACATGTAGTCAATTTCTAATTAGAAAAACATAGGTAAAAATATGTATAGGTTGTTTCTAACTTTTCCTTACATAATCTTAAAAGTTTGTTTTCTTTTACTCTGGCCTTTTAATAGTTCAAATTAATTTTTAATACAACTATAATGTTAGCCAATTGCAATATTAATCCATTTGCAATGTGAATATAACCTCAGGAGCAAATCAGAAATTATTTGACACTATTACTAGGTATCAGTGTCACATTTCCTCTTTCAAATATCTATGCTGTAACAGAAAAGAACAGGTGGGGAGAAGTGGGAAAATATTAAAGGGCATTTTGTAATTTTCTCTAGAATTATATTTTGAAGGATAATGTCTTTGAAAGGAAAATGTAGCTTTGAAAATAAGAGATCTGTTCACCAATTAATAGTGAATAACACTTTTAAGTAAAACTAAATATTTGCGGGATAAGGAGACCATAAAGTGACCGTGCCAAATTTAGCTCTCGGCATTTTAGTGCTGCAAATGAACCCCTGGCAAGTTGTTTTTAGAACTCAATCCATAATTACCTAGTATTAAGCACCATCTGACTCATGGTGGAAAGGATTATATTTAGTCTGCTGATACTACACTTTCTTCTGCTGCTCTTCAGACTGAAATACTTTTCATATAAAAATAAGATCTTCTGTGGTTTATTTCTATATCAACTTCTACAGTTTGTTTCTTACCTTAAATCAGAATGTGAAGGGCAAAAATTACAATATAAAAGTAGAAATGGCTTCAATTATACTAGTTAAAAGGTACATTATATGGATGATAAATTCTGGCTATTCTGGTCACAAATTAATAACAGTGAAGCCAGAGAAGAAAAGCATCCCTAAAAATGTAACTACATCTTCTCAACTTTATGCTCTTCCTTTCACTGTGATAAAGTACCTATTAAATGCCCAGTAGAGTATGTCTCCTGTTTATGAAAAAAATCCAACTGGCTTGAATATGGTGTTATGAAGTTATGTTTTGCTTAATTCCTGTTTATCTAAATCACTTCAGACTAATATTACCTGTTGAATTTTTAGGCATCTTTCCTCTTCCATTAAAATGAGTGAGTTGAAGTAGATTCTACTGACAAAAGGATGGAAAACTCACAACCTTGAAGAAACATAAGAAATCCTAGAAATCGTGCAGTAGAATATTTTATGCTGACGAAACTATAGCCTAGATGAGAGAAGTTAATCAAAAGACACATGATTTATAAGAAAGCTAAAACAAAATTCCCAATCTAGTTCTCTTTCCATAAGTTCTCGAAGTCTCCAGAATGGCAATGCCAATATTCTTATCCCTGCTGTCACAAAAGGAACTTTTATTCCAAATAGGAAGAAGCAGATACTTATGTCTTAAAACAAACAAAGAATTTTTTAAAATAAAAGAATGAACAAAAACACAATGTAGGTTTTTAAGAAATTACATGCAAACAAATGCACAAAGGAGACAAAAGTATGGGCAGCTCTCAAGAAACTTTAAATTTCTTTATCAATTATTAATCATGAGAAAGCTAATGAGAAAACAGAAAAAGTGTAACAGGTTGTGTTTCTAGATTTTTTATTAAAATTCACCTAGACTTAGCTTAGTTCCTGTAGGTCTGAATTGTTTTATTTTAATAATTGAGTTTTTGCTCTTATGTGACTGAATTCAGTTGACTAATCTAGGACTTCATAGCACAAAATTAAATATTTTATCTCAGACCAGATCAATTTATGCAATCTAACCATCTAATCTCTCTTATATTAGAGAAACTGGGCTGGTGCCATATTCTCAATACTCTTAATTTCCCCTGTTTATACCATATTATAGTAACTAGCCTAGATATATACTAGCCTAAGTATGTCCTATGTTGAAGTCAAAAATGCAAAAATATTTATTTCCTTTGACTTAAGTGAGTTATTCTGAAGCACAAAACTCCCAAGAGTTCCCAAATAGTGCTTTTCCTGGCCTTTTATGGTGGTTCCTAGAAACTCTGTGAGATTGGAGTGAAAATTAGGTAAAGTAAGTTTAAGGATTTATATACATCCAGGTCTTTGGTCTCTCTGCCAGGCGTTAAATCAGAGAGCATACAGCAGTGTTTTCTTTGATTGAAAACTGGCCCTGATTATATTAGCTTCTTTAGCCTTTCCAGTCATTAGTCCCCATTGTATGTTGCAAGGACCATCGAGTTCTTTGAAGAATGTAGTCCATGTTCCTTCCCAGGGCATTTTCTCCCAGTATTCAATATTACATGTCTCCTCAATTATCTTTAATTACAGCTCTTCTTCTTTTACTAAGGCTTACCCTACATCAATTCCAGAGCCTGTTTGATTAACAGCATTTTAATATTTTTTTCTATAATTCAATTCTTTCTGTTAGGTTGGTACAAAAGTAATGGCAAAACCGCAATTATTTTTGCACCAACCAAATAGATACATTGTATGATGTTTAATCAGTTAACTTAATCTCATTATTACTATTAGATGCTTCTCCAAGTAAAAATGAATTTGTAAACATTGTAATAAAAATTCTTTTTAGTAGCAGTATGTTGTAGACTACTATTACCTAAATCCAACATCATATGATAGCACGAATCATAAAAATGTGGAATGTAACTAGTTTACTAAGAGTCTAAGATAAATATGTAGGCTAGAATTTAAAAGAGCCTTAAAAAAAAATTGGGGATTGGAAAATTAGAAGTCCAAGTCAAAAACATTTATATAAAGTCCAAAGGAAGGTGCTAGAAATATAAAGGTACATATATCAATAATTCAAAATGAGCATGCTAACTTTGAGCAGGTGAAGTCTTTTCCCTCATGGTACACAACCTTCTAGAGAAGAAGTTTATATCTGAAGGGGGAGCTTAGGATATACATATTCTAATGATTTTAACTTAATGAAAATCTATTGAGCTTCAAATATAGGCAAGGTATTCTACAGAGAGTTATGGAAGGATAAATCCTAAGAATAAGGCAAGCATACAGCGGACACCAGGACTCCAAGATGGCGTCAGTCCTACCAGTGAAGGACAAGAAACTTCTGGAGGTCAAACTGGGGGAGCTGCCAAGCTGGATCTTGATGCGAGACTTCAGCCCTAGTGGCATTCTCGGAGCATTTCGAAGAGGTTACTACCGGTACTACAACAAGTACATTAACGTGAGGAAGGGGAGCATCTCGGGGATTACCATGGTGCTGGCATGCTACGTGCTCTTCAACTACTGCCTTTCCTACAAGCATCTCAAGCACGAGCGGCTCCGCAAATACCACTGAAGGGGACACACTCTGCACCACCCCCTGACCCCATGACCTTGGCCCCAGCCCCTCCGTGAGGAACACAATTTCGATCTTGCTGAATCTTTTCATACCCTAATGGGAATTAACCTCCAAATAAAAGATGACTCGTACATGTAAAAATAAAATAAAATAAAAAATAAGGCAAGCAAAGTGCTCTATTGGAGACAGGTTGGGGTAGGCTCACATCCAGGTCTACATCAAGAACAAATGACTTCGGGAATGGCCTAAGCTTCCCAGAAGCTTACAATCAAGAAGGTAAAAAATTTTCAGTGGGATGAAGACCTGGGTGATGTTGAATACTGGGGAAAACAGAGAGGAAACGTTTCTCTCAAGGGAAACAAATGTTATCAGGGCTTGTCGCATATTCAATTTCTAAAAAGAAGCAATGAGAGAACATTCCAGAGAGAAGAAAGGTAAATCTGATTTTTAAAACTATTTGATGACAGAGAACTCAAGCGAAAACCAGCCGACATTGTGTATTCATATTACACAATTAATTTGCCTTTGTTCAAAGGACTGATTACCCCATCGTTATAACCCCAAGGAAGAGAGAGAAGATAAGTTGTGCCATTTATGAAAGTAAACCAGACAGAAGAATCACTTGAGCCTGGGAGGCGGAGGTTGCAGTGAGCCGAGATCGCGCCATAGCACTCCAGCCTGGGCAACAAGAGTGAAACTCCGTCTCAACAACAACAAAAAAAAAAGTGTGCCAGAGAAAAAAATTGGATTTCCCGTTTATTCTATGAGCACAGAATCTAGTCTTCTAGTTTTTAAACTACAGTTTTTTTTTTCTCTAGACCATACTGTAGCCTTCCCTACTGTTGTCAAATAAAATGCTCAAATATTTATGTTGATTCTCAGTAAGTACCCAAAAAAATCCAAATGCATTCTCTATGTGACAAAGGTATGAAGAAAGACTAGGGTGAAACAGTTAACAACTGCATATCACTTAACTGCTTCTATTTTAATAACAAACTTTATAGTATCCAAGTCATTAGGAATAGCTTATTCATAACATAAATACAACTTTTTTTTTTTTTTTTTTTTTGAGATGAAGTCTCACTCTGTAGCCCAGGCTGGGGTACAATGTCGCGATCTCAGCTCACTGCAACCTCCTCCTCCCGGATTCAAGTGTTTCTCCTGCCTCAGCCTCCTGTGTAGCTGCGACTACGGGCGTATGCCACCAGGTTCGGATAATTCTAGTATTGTTAGTAGAGGCGGGGTTTCACCATGTTGGCCAGGCTGGTCTCAAACTACTGGTCTCAAGTAATCTGCCCACCTAGGCCTCCCAAAATGCAGAGATTACATGCATGAGCCACCACACCTGGCATAAATAAAACGTTTTATTTTATTTTATTTTATTTTATTTTTATTTATTTTGAGATGGAGTTTCACTCTTGCTGCCCAGGCTGGAGTGCAATGGCATGATCTCGGCTCACCGCAACCTCTGCCTCCGGAGTTCAAGCAATTCTCCTTCCTCAGCCTCCCAAGTAGCTGAGATTACAGTCATGCGCCACCACTCCCGGTTAATTTTGTATTTTTAGTAGAAACACGGTTTACTCCATGTTAGTCAGGCTGGTCTTGAACTCCCAAACTCAGATGATCCGCTTGCCTCGGCCTCCAAAAGTACTAGGATTACAGGTGTGAGCCACCACACCCAGCCCTAAATACAAATTTTAAACTTACTTTCCAGTTTACTCATTAGATTTTACATAGATTAACCATATTTTATATCTAGGCAAGGACACTTTTTTACCTGAAAAAAATTATTAAATATGAAAATAATTATGTTTAGTAGGGCAATTTTGATGGTTAATTTTGTATTATTTATAGTTATTAGCTCAACTAATGATATATGCTAGTTCTCAATAAGACAATTCAAATTTAATAATGTAATTACATAAATATAATTAGAAAGCTAAAAAAGAACACAAAGGTAACATGGTAGGCTCTGATGCTTTCATTTATGTCAAAAATTGTAAGATTCCAAATCTTGTAATATTCAAAGCTTACACATTTCCACCTTTGTCTTTCCCTTCCATTTGCCCCTAATGATTCAAAGCATTTTTAATTTTTCTATTAAATTTCAGTTCCCAATAACCTTTCAAAAGGTCAAGCTATTTATGAAAATGTTTACCTGGATACTAATAATTTTAAAATTATATTTTCAATCTTCATTTTGGGACTCAAGATTCTATGAGATTTTTTTCACTGCTTATAAACTTAGAGCCAGAAGAGATGTGTATATTAAATGCTGATTTCTTCTGAAATGGTTTGAGGAGAAGCTACAAAGTATATGTCTTTCTAGAAGTGACCATCCCCTTAAAAACAGTTGCTGAAGCAGTACTCAAGTTACAATTAATCTCCAATATACATTATGCCTGTGAGCTGCTTTAAACATGTAGAAAACTGATAAATATTTTGTCTGAACTTTAGCGGACATCCTAGGAGAATCTTTCCCTGTACCACTTTTCCCAATACCATTTCCAGAAGGGAGTTGCCCGCTACTTTCAGGTAAGCTACCATGAAAACCCATTGCTGGCCAATCCCCTAGATACCTTTAAAATTCTAAAATACAGTTTTAGCTAGGCAAGGTGACTCATGCCTGTAATCTCTACACTTTGGGCAGGATGATGGCTGGAGGCTAGGAGTTCAAACTAGCCTGGGCAACCTAACGAGACCCTGTCTCTACAAAAAATCAAAATAAAAATTAATCGGGTGCAGTGGCACATGCCTGTAGTCCTAGCTACTAAGGAGTCTGGGGTGGGAAGATCACTTGAGCCCAGGAGTTCAAGGCCGCAGTGAGCTGTGATTGTGCCATTGCACTCCAGCCAGAGTGACAGAGCAAGACTCTGTCTCAAAAATAATAAAATAAAGTACAATTTTGCATTCCACAAGCTCTGCCTTGCATTCTTTTGCCTTCTTGGTCTAGGGGCTGAGCCATAGAGTATTTGCCAAGGCAGAAGCAGAAACAGAAACAGCATGTTCTAGTAAGAACTTATGCGTAGTTAAAAAAAAAAAATGTATAGGATGAGAGAAAAAGAATGTAAAAATGATCTATCAGCTTTTCTGCTCAGAAAAACTTCTGAAAATAAAAAAATATGACTACTCAGCCATTATAAAGATAACAAGGAGGGAGGAAAATAACCAGACCTAACGTCAGGAGACTAAAGGAGAATGGTGAAAAGCAGAGATCAAAACTATTCCTGGTTTAGATTATGCTTGCAAAAGAGTGATCTTTAATTGGAGATTGCAAGACCCAACCAGATTGTCACTTGGGTGCACCCTAAGAAACATGCAGAATGTGCACGGCCTTTTCAAGTCCTCTGAACTTTACCATAAAGGATAGCACTTCAGAGGATGTTCCTTCTATTATAGCAGTTGCCATTTGAAACCCCAAACCAGTCCCATTCAAAAACTTGCATTAATACCAAAACTTGCTGACTAGAAGTTTTCAAAATCCACGGTCATCAAGAGAAGGGTCTGGCCCAAGACCTTAAAGAACTTCTAAGCTCTTCTGCCATCGAAAAAATAGGAAGCTTCTTAAAAGAAGATGCTCCAAGAGAACTTCTTGGAAATAAAGACCATAAAAGTACTGACAGGTTTCCATCTCACTATGGCTGTCCACTCCCAGGTTCTAGTCACCTAAAAATAGCTCTCAGGGTACAGATCCATCTTTCCCTTTGCCCTAAGAAAGCTAAAGAACTCTCCAAGGGGTGTGGCAACTTATCTCTGAAACCTGATGCTAGCTGTGAGGTCAAAGCTTGCCCAGAAATAAAAGGAAGCCTCAGCCAGGGAGGACCCCACTCAGGGACCGGAGCAACCCTCAACTCACTCTTCGGCTTTCCTGCTGTGTTGCAGCCCAGCCACTCCATCATGGTGGGTCGTATGAGACAATGATTTGTCATTTATAGGAGAAAATAGATAGAGGATATGATCTTACTGAGAAGAAAGATAGGCAAAGAATGGAACTGAGGAGAGAACATATTCAATATGAATCTTTAGTATCTACTTTTGGGTTTTGTTGAGATCCATTAAAGATAGAAGAAAATAATTAGAGTTGTTTATCAACTGGAAAAATACATGTTACTTCCAAGAGCTGTGCTTTATGCTTCACCAACTCTTGCTGTATCACATAAGATTCATTATACCTAAATTTAGAAGAAAAAAACCTGTAGCTACAGCAAAATATTATACCTTAAAATACAATCCAGTGATGCTGATAGCTAAAACTAAGTAAACAGCTTTTGATGCATTGGGTTTTGTATACTTTTCTTTAAGTACTAGCTAAATAGAAGACAGACTTAAGGTAGTCTTTTTAATGGGTATATCTGTACTCAAACAATGTGTATCTTATTAGACATATCTTAAATATACTGTAGATTTTCCTAGAAGTATTAAATGTAGCATTTGTTAAATCATTAAGATACAGAAAGATATTCCCTAATTATCTTTTGCAATAGCTTTTTATGTTCCTAGATTCAAAAGTGTCCTAAGGCAACCTTCTTATGCCAAGACACCTACATAGCTTCCTAAAAATCTCAGAGCAACCAGCACTCATTCTTCTGTCAATGCATTTGAAAGAGTACTTGTTTTTTCTTTCTCTTCCTCGCCACTGCAGTCCTTCAGTGCTGACCAGATTGCTGGTAAGTGAATTGAGTTTCTCTGCTACAGATGTAGGCACAGCACTGCCTAGTTTCTGCAATATTACTTATCTTCAAGGCATGTTTCATTGCAGCTCAACCTATTAGTGTCCAAGCTATGCCTGAACTCTGAAAAGTAGGCTGACTTTTGGAGCTTACTTTGAAGATTACTCAGGGAATGAGCTGGATACAACTAAAAATCAGAACATTTTTGTTTGGTTAAAACATTCTTTGTGGTCAATTTCTTTCTAACAGATCGAGTTCTCTAAGGAACAGCAGGATGGTAAGTTTAAAAGCTATGGTTGTTAAATGTGCACACTCATAAAGATGGCATGTGTGAAAACCAACTCCCTTGGGATGAGATTAGCTCTTCCTAATTATCCCCACTGGTGTTGCCATTCTAAATATAAATTGCTCTCGATCACTCTAAATATAAATTAGCTCAACCTGAAACCCTCGCTGATACTCAGTAATCAAAGGTTTAACAAGATAAGCACCACAGAATAGGCCCTTATATTTACTGATACCTAAATAAAACCAATTTGATACAATAGATAATACCATATATAGAGAGAGATTTTATATATATATATAGTAGATTTTAGATGGCTAAATTGCTAATATAATCCCTAAAGAGGGATTTGACAAGTCTGAATTGTCAATTTGAAAAATAAAATTGATTATAAAACTGCCCAATTACTAAAACTATATCATTTCAATGGATAACATAGTGAGTTGTAGAATAAAAATGAATTCAGAAACAAAGAAGAAGGATTAATTTATCATAGAACTATAGAAGGAACATTAAATGTATCCTGGTTTAACCCCTCCCTGAGACATGCAAGACAGAGTCCAGAGATGTGACAAGACTTTGTCAATGACTCAAAGAATTAGTGCTAGGATCAAAATCTGACATTAGTTTAAGTTGATTAAAAATTTATTTTATAAAAACAATTACTAGCTAGGAGACTCGAAACTCTTAAGATTCAAGAGAATCTGAATAGTTTCCCTAACAAGTCAACTTTTTCACCTTTGGGTCTTTGGATCCGACAGATCCCATTAGTCCACAGGAGCTTGATGTTTTCTAGGAAGTACAGTGAGGAATGTTTTACGGAGTGAAAGAGTCACATATCTAAATGAACTGAGACATAAATAAACTTATAGATGGAAGGAGGAGAAAAAATTAGCTTCAAAATATTGTATAAATTAGAATATCAGTCATAAGTAGTATGTCTATATTACATATATTATGATATGCAAAATATAAATAATTATAATTATAGGTGATTAATAAGAATCTATTCAAATACTCAGTTCTCTACCTAAAGGATTCCTATTCTTAAAGTCTGTTTCTGTGTCTGAAATAGTTCATATTTGAACACAAATTGAGAAAAAAGGGATATTTACTGTAGTTCAGACTCACATGCATCTGCATCATGGTTGATAGCCTCATGTAGACAGATTAGATGATTTAGTGACTCATAACTCAAGATTATTTGAAATTATAGCATGAAGGACTTTTTTCTCATTGAAAACAGTTGGTGATTCTACTATAATTTGTTTGATTTTTAATGCATTTTACTAGTGATGCTGCTACATTGTCACCCGCTGCATCCCAGTCCTCTCAAATAGCTCATTTACAGTTGTTGTGACCAAACTATTGTAGGATCAAGCAAGGGAAGACTTAAAAACCCTTGCAAGGATGCGAGGATTTAATGTTGAACATTAAACCTTTTATTCCGTCTGTGAAATAGATTTCAGACACAGAAGTTCAGTAAACATGGGTGTAGCGTACTGTTTTCTTTGTGGCAGGAAAACAAATGCCAGCATTTTAAATGATGTGGAAAACCTATAGTTTCTTAAATGAAAGTATTCTTTAGTTTGTTTCATTGTTTAGCAGTTAAAGAATTGTGTTCATGGCTGCTCTATTGGAATCTATCACAGGATTGAAGGAAAAGGGGCAAAAACTAGAAAATTACAGCATTCTAAAGGTCTAAGTCTTGTGCTGTCCAGTAGACACTAGGCACATGTGGCTATTTAAACTTTAATTAATTAAAAATAAAATTTTAAATCCATTTTCCTCACTTGCACTAGTCACATTTTAGTGTTCAAGAGCAACAGTTAATAGTCACCTTTTTGGGCAGCCCAGAATGACAACAATTCCATTATTACCAAAAAGTTCTAGAACAATACTGTTATACACCAGAAGTTAGCAAACTTTTTCTTAAAAGGGCCAAATAGTAAATAAGTTAGGCTTTGTGGCCAGTATAGTCTCTGTAAAAGCAACTCCACTCTGTCACTGAGATGTGAAGAAAGCCATAGACTATTCATAAAATGGGAATGGCTGTATCCGAATCAAATTTTATTAAAAAGAAACAGGCAACCAGCCCCTGGAAAATAGTATAACCAGTCCTGGTATTAATTCTTCAAGAGAATAACTAAAGTTTGGGTTAAAAATCTGGAGTAAGAAAAATAGTGTCTTTCTGGTCTCTGCCTTTAAATCACCAAAAGTGTTAATGTCAGAGTGATTCTATTACAGCCCATAAAATCCTCTTTCCACTTCGGCATCTGACCAGGGTAATAGTGAACCTGCTGAGCAGTCTGTTCATGAAAGCCTGAAGCCAGTAACAAGAATAGTTCAGTTTCACATGTCCCTTAGAAAGATGAAAAATAATATTTGACTAATGACTTCTTAGTGCCTGCAGCAAGTTTTCTAGCGTAGGGAATTGATCTGTAGCCAAACTGCATAGAATTTGAGGGGGAAGTTTTTAACAAATAATGGTAACATGATCTCCAGTGAATTGTGAATATAATGTCAGTGTGATGTTAGATTAGGATATGGAGGAATAGTAAGATGGAATATTTTGCTGAGTAATCTATCTAGACAGCACCTTTTGATCTGAAACCACTGATAGCCTAAAAAATGCTTTCACTTTTACCAATTTATTCAAAAACGATTTTTTGAGTATTGTTGATATTAACTCCAAGTCACCGTCAGTACTTTTGGGTTTCCCAGAAAATGTAATCTAGTTTATAAGTCCTAATTAAAACGGTTTTCCTGGCCCCCAAATTCATAGTAGCACCCCTTTCTGTCTTTGATATACATTTCTAAACTCTTTGTCACTATAATTTTGAAAGTCAAACCAGTTCTATCAAAAGAGAATGATGAAATTTAGAGAAAGTAAGCAATGCAATTATTATAATTAGAATAGAGAACACTTTAAAATATGATTCAGAAAAGAATGGGAATGGCTGTGTATACTTAATATACACACATGCACACAAAATGAATCAAGCAAACTGGGAAAATGTGACTAAAATTGATGGAGCCTACCAATGTGAATATCTTGGTTGTGATAATATAATTTTGCAAAATGTTACTACTGGAAGATACTGGGCAGAGCATACAGGAGATCTTTCTGTATCATTTCTTACAACTGCATGTGAATCTACAATTTTCTCCATAAAATTGTAATTACAAGGCATACCGAAATTCTTAAGTAGATATAGCAACATATGTCATATGTATTATTTGAAAAAACAGTAAAGTATAAAGAGATTCTCACAGCAACAATGGTATTATCATACCAAAACAAATATTTCTCCTTCTGAATTGATTACACCTGGAGACTAATAGAGTCACACATTAGTTAACAAACTATAGAATGTATGGATTTGTCTCACCTTTCTAAATTTTTCCTGAAAAATAAAGGTATTCCTGGAGAAAACTGGTTAAAGGGATAACCTAGGAAATTTGTACCTCAAGAGGAGGTTTTTCTATATAATTTGAAAAGTCTGAGTTAACCTCACATACCATGAGCCTGATTGAAAATTTGTTCTTTTTGAAATTTTGTTAATCTTGTTAATTATATGAGAGATTATTAAAATTTCTCAGGGCCTTAGAATGTTTTTTAACCCAATCCTGCTTTCCAGGCAGGTAAAGAAAATATGAATATGACTAGGAGCCCCAATTTCCATATCTGATTAACAACAACAGGCAACTTAAAGTTGGAAATGCTGCTTTAAAATAATCCCAAAAAGAAATGCTAAGTTTTTGCCAATGATAGTTGGAGATACAAAAAGAGAATCCAGGAAAACAACTTGCACAGTTGGCAAAAGTTGTAAAACAGAAGAGTTTGAACTGAATTTTTGATTGAGTTAGATTTAATAGGTTAGAGGAAGAAAAAAAGCACTCTAATGCTTCTTGCTTTTTGCAGAATTCAAGGAGGCATTTCTCCTGTTTGACAGAACAGGTGATTCCAAGATCACCTTAAGCCAGGTTGGTGATGTCCTTCGAGCTCTGGGCACAAATCCCACCAATGCAGAGGTCAGGAAAGTTCTGGGAAACCCCAGCAATGAAGGTAACCCATCAATTTTTCCAAGAAGTGTTGAAGTATAGGGAAGTGTGCAGCAGTGTGTGTGTGTGGTATGTGTGGTGTGTGTGTGTGTGTGTGTGTGAGAGAGAGAGAGAGAGAGAGAGATTGATTTAAAAATGTTTCACGTAATAGGGCTCAGTTTATTCCTGATTGTGGTAAGTGCGCCTCTTAGCCATATAGTCTCAGCCTTTTTCTTTACAAAATAAGTTAAACTTCATTTGAGAATTTGCAAGCATGATAAAATGTCAATGTTTAACATTAGATATTAGAAATAATATCTAATGTCAAATGTCAATGTTTAACTTTAGATATTAGAAATAATATCTAATGTCAAATGTCAATGTTTAACTTTAGATATTAGAAATAATACCTAATGCTATCATCATTTCAAATGTTCATAATTAAAGGCTAATGAAATAATATCCAAATCTGCACATTTTTTCAGACTTCAAATCTTCAAAGGCAAAAACACATTTTGGCAAAGATGTTAAATATGACTTAAAACACTTTATAAACAATTCTGAGTAAATTCCAGTGGCACAGTTCTAGAGAACTTCTCTGATAAAAGCTGTGGAAATGAAATTGGAACTTTGTCAAGCAACTGAAAAATACATGCTGCCTACCATGTGCTCTGTCCTTTGACACACTGCTTCTATGAGTGGACAGAAGCAGGGTGTCAAAAGACAGAGCACAGGGATAATCCTAGGAAAAAAATAAGTGAGAAATATAAGTGGCAAAATTGCAGAAGTCATTTACTCCATCCAGAAATCCAGTCATTATTCTAGAATAAGGAAATTACTTTTAATCCCAATGGTTTTACTGAAAAGCATAATAGTCTAACAGAAAATGACACTCAAACAAAACAGACAAGACACATTTGCAAATTGTTTGACAAGGGATTAATATCCAAAATGTATAAGAAACTCAACAGCCAAAAAAAAAAAAAAAAAAAAAAAAAAAACCCCACAAATAATCCAATCAAAAAATGGGCAAATGAACTGAATAGACATCCTTCAAAAGAAGATATACAAATGGCTAACAGGTATATTTTAAAATGCTCAACATCACTAATCACCAGGGAAACATGAATTAAAAACCATAATGAAACACCACCTCACCCGCTTAGAATGGTCATTGCTAAAAAGACAAAAAATAAATGCTGGGGAAGATGCAGAGAAAGGGGAGCTTTTATACACTGTTGCTGAGAATGTAAGTGCAACCATTGTGGAAAATAGTATGGTTTATCACAAAACTAAAAATAGAACTGTTATATGATCCAGCAATCCCACTACTGGGTATATTTCTAGAGAAAAGGAAATCAGTATGTCAAAAAAAAATCTGTATTCCCATGCTTATTGCAACACTATTCACGATGCCCAAGATATGGAATCAACTTAAATGTCCATCAACAGATGAATGGATAAAGAAAATATGAGATAGATAGATATATATATACAATGGAATACTATTTAACCATAAAAAATGAAATTTTATCATTTGCTGCAATATGGATGAGCTTGGAAGACATCATGTTAAGTAAAATGAGCCAGGGACAGAAAGATAAGTCTACATGTTCTCACTCATATGTAGAATCTAAAAAATTTTATTTTAGAGAAGTAGCAAGTAGTGCTTTCTAGAGACAGGGAAGGGTAGAAGGAATAAGAGACAGCCAGAGGTTGGTTAATAGATACCAAAGTATAGCTAGATTGGAGGAATAAATTCTAGTGTTCTGAATAAATTCTCGTGCTCTAGTCCCTCCCGAGTAGCTAAGACTACAGATGTGCACCACCATACCCAGCTACTTTTTGTTTTGTTTTAATTTGTTTTGTAGAGACAGGGTCTCGCCATGTTGCCCAGGCTGGTCTCAAGCTCCTGAGCTCAGGTATCTGCCCTCCTTGGCCTCCCAAAGTGCTGGGTTTATAAGCATGAGTCACTGCACCCAACAGAAACCTTATTTTTAAATGCCACTTCCCAACTTACTAAACATCTATCTTTAATGAAGAGAGGAGGGAATAAGAGACAGCCAGAGGTCAGTTAGTGAATACAAAATTAGAACTAGATTGGAGGAATAGCTCTAGTGTTCTAAAGCACTATAGGATGACTATGCTAGCAGCAATTCATTTTCAGATAGCTAAAAGAGTTGATCTTGAATGTTCCCAATACAAAGAAATGATAAGTGTTTGAGGTGATCGGTATGCTAATTATCCTGATTTGGTCATTACATTGTACATGTATCCAAATACCACACTTTACCCCATAAACACATACAATAAGTATGTGTCAATAAAAAATAATTTTTGAAAGAGATACAAAACTGAAGTTTTTCAAATAGATATTCAGGCTGTCTATCTTTGCCATTAGGAAACAGAGAGGGGCGTGAGATAACAAATAATCTTTTTCTTTCCCTTGACAACTGAAAATTCTTTGGAGACCTTCCTTTGTTAGAAAAAGAAAACTTGATTTCAACAAAACTCAAAATCAGCCTGCTGACTTCATTCTTTGGAAGGAAATATCCAATTATACCGTGCAGAAAAGCCGAGAGCATGAGATCAAGTGAGCAAGCAATAGGACAAACCCTATTTTTATTTTTTCTTTCTTTCCTTCTTTCCTTCTTTTCCTGAGGCAGAGTCTCACTCTGTCACCCAGGTGGGAATAAGTGGCATGATCATAGTTCATTGCAGCCTCAACCTCCCGGGCTCAAGAAATCCTGCCTCAGCCTTCCAAAGTGCCGGGATTACAGGTGTGAGCCACCACACCCAGTCAAATCTAATTTTAATCTTAATTTATTTATTTGAGATGGGGTCTCACACTGTCATCCAGGCTAGAGTGCAGTGGCGTGATCTTGGCTCACAGCAACCTCCACCTCCCAGGTTTAAGCAATCCTCCCACCTCAGCCTCCCAAGCAGCTGGAGACTACAGGCATGTATCAGCATGCTGGCCTTTTTTTTTTTTTTTTTTTTTTTTTTGTAGATATGGGGTCTTGCCATGTTGCCCAGGCTGGTCTCAAACTCCTGAGCTCAAGGAGTCCACCTGCCTTGGCTTCCCAAAGTGGTGATGTTACAGGTGTGAGCCATTGCAACCTGGCTGAAACCCTTAAATGTCACTTTCCAACTTAGCAAACATCCATCTTTCATAAAATTATTTGGTAAAATACTCATTTATTCAGCATTCAAATTTAATTTTTTAAATATTACTCAATATAATTTCAATGTAAAAGTATAAATAACATATAATAGAAATATAGAAGAGTAGTAAAAAGATTTGATTTGGTGAATACATAACTTTACCCATTTGCATACATCTGGATAGTATAAAATAGACTGTCTAGATTTTCCATGAATAAGATTTACCTTGTCAGAAGACAATAAAGGCCTATCATCTCCAGGCTTCTAAGGTACAAAGAAGTCGGGAGATCACAGAATATTTGACACACACTCTCTCCTTGTAAACTTCTTAAATTACTTAAAATTTAAAGAAAGGGAAGGCCCTCCAAAAGCTGGGGAAAAAGGTGGAATATGTACTGAAGTTAAGTTTTACTGTCTTAATCCACTAGTGAGTTTGTTGTATCTCAGTGCATTTTTCTATGGCTTGCAAGTATTTATGGGAAATATTAAATGGACAATACTAAAAATAAGCTACCACTTATTAAGCAATCAGTTTATCCTAGATATTATATTAAACTTTGCATTCATTACCTCATTTAGTTCTCACAATAACCCTATTAGTTATCTCTATTTTACAGATAACTTGAGGCACCAAAAGGTTAACTTGTGCACTGTCAGAGTTGCAAATGGTAGACTAGGAATAAAAGTTCAGGCACTGGAATTCCAACCCTCATGCTATTAACTATTACCATATTCTTGATATTTTAGCAATTTACCAGCTGAAATTTAAGCTGTGTCAAGGTTTTTCAGATAACCTAGAATAACTTTTGAAGTTTAAATTGTGACTCAGAGTTAGTATTATGGTAGCTAATAACCCTCAAAATTGCAATTTCTTACAGAGCTGAATGCCAAGAAAATTGAGTTTGAACAATTTCTGCCTATGATGCAAGCCATTTCCAACAACAAGGACCAGGGCACCTACGAAGACTTTGTTGAGGGTCTGCGTGTCTTTGACAAGGAAGGCAATGGCACAGTCATGGGTGCTGAACTCCGCCATGTTCTAGCCACCCTGGGTAAGGGAATTTATTTCAGTGGACTTAGTGAGACAGAATATATAGAAAAGAACATGACAGGAGAATCATGTCATCACCAAAATAGGAGGAAATACTACAAAGGGAAAATGGGGGAAAAAAAATAGTCAAAAGTTAATGACCATTTCAATTGGCCTCAGTGGCAGTGAGTTTGGTGAAAATGTTAACTTAAAATATTGGTAATGAATAAGTAAAGGAAAGCATAGTAGTTCTTATAGGATACAGTTTGTATGACAAGGGATAATTTGTATTTAATTAACTCATTCAAAAACCAATTAGTTGACAATGTATTAAGTACCAAAAGAATGGGAAAGTCACAATTCCTATATGCCAAGAGTTTAGTCTCCAGAAGCCCTTGGCTGATGACCTATGGTGGATTTTGAAAATACCACGTGGACTTCTTTCTAAAAGGAGAGTTTTGTTTCATCAGGTGAAAAGATGAAAGAGGAAGAAGTGGAAGCTCTGATGGCAGGTCAAGAAGACTCCAATGGCTGCATCAACTATGAAGGTAGAATCAATGCTCACTGGTGGTTACAGCAACTCTTAACTGATCAGATTGATGATGGGCTCCTTTTGAACTTCCTTTCCTCTTCCTTCCTAATTGACATACATATGACAACAAATTGCATAACTCTAAAAAGATATGTGAGGATCTGAACATATAAATAACATTTATTCCAGTGTGTTTTAGCAATACTGTGCATTGTTTTTAAGCTTAAAATGTGTTTTCACATATATTTTTTGTTAGCTCTTCAAAACATCCCTATGAGATAGACAGGGCTGATGTCAGAATCAAATTTAATAGAATATTAAACTTGAAGAAATCTCAATGTCTTTTACTAGTATGAAGCAATTATGAAAATGAAACTTCGGGCCAAAGAGGTTTAGTTACTTGGTGAAGGTCAAACAACTGATGGCCAGGCTGGTACTAAAATTTCTTCTCCTTGTCTAGTGTTCTTGCTTTAATGAAAGTCATCCCACAGTTGCCAATTGTTTAAATCCTACCACCAAGTTATAGCAGCTTCACCCAGAGGGTGTGAAAGCAATGCACTACACAAAACAAAGATGCATAATATAATTTACAAATTTAATTTTTTTTACATTTTTTTAAGAAAATGTAAAAATTTTTCTGTCCCCAAAGAGAATGAACCCAGTTACATATAAATAAAGACAAAAAGAGAAAAACATAGAACAGAAGAGAACAAGAGGGGAAGAAAAGAGAAGAAAGGAAAGGAGGGAGAAGAGGACAAAAAGAAAGGGTTTAGCCAAGCTTATCTTCACTGACAATCTTGATTAAACTTCTTTTAATTCTTAATTCTTAATGTGACAATTCTTCACATTTGGCTATTACCATAAATACACTCCATAGAGAATCATTCAATAAATATTGTTTGAACAAGTGGACAGTCATCTAGAAAATAAAGTCAAATCTGAATTTTATGCCAGGACAAATTTCAAATAATTTACATGTGAGATGTAAAAGCTAAAAACAAAGAGCACAAAAAACACGGAAGAATTCATTTTATAACTTTGGAATGATTAAGTTTTTTCTTTCTAACAGTGACACAAAAACCAGAAGGCATTGAAAATGTTGACAAATTTAAACACATACTTTTAAAAGTCTATATGGCAAAAGCCACTAAAGCAGTCAAAAGACGGATAGCAAACCAGAAAAAAAAAAAATTGCAATTAATATCAGAAAGAGCTAATTTTCCTAATAAAAAAGAACTACTACAAATAAAATATCATATCCAATAGAAAATTAGCAAGTACATGAACAGACAATTCATAGGAAACAAAATGAAAAAATGAAAAAATACATTAATAATTTTTAAAAATGCAAATTAAAACTACACTGACGGCTGGTCGCAGTGGCTCATGCCTGTAATCCCAGCACTTTGGGAGGCCCAGGCAGGCAGATCACTTGAAGTCAGGAGTTCCAGACCAGCCTGGCCAGCATGGTGAAACCCTGACACTACTAAAAATTCAAAAATTAGCTGGGCGTGATGGCGCACGCCTGTAGTCCCAGCTACTCAGGAGGCTGAGGCACGAGAATCGTTTGAACCCGGGAGGCAGAGATCACATTACTGCACTCCAGCCTGGGCAACAGAGCAAGACTGCGTCTCAAATAATAATAATACTAATATAAAACTACACTGTGACATCATTTTTCAATAAGCTGATTGCCAAAGATTAAATGTTTGGGCACACTTTGGGCTGAGTAGAGGGTATGGAAACAGGCAATTTCGTGTATTACTGATGGGAATGCATATTGTTAAAACCCCTAGGTGATGATGTGTTACTACTAATAGCAGCAAATCTACTTCTGGAGAGACTTAGTCTCTAGATATTCTTTCACTCAAGTGAGATGACCATATATAGATGGTTATTCATTACTGTGCTGTTCATAATGGCCAATTTTTTTTTAACAATTTAATGTCCATCAATGTATAATTTCACCAACATATCAATGTGAAAACAATCAAATGTCCATCCATGTATCAACGTGAAATTCTCTGCAGCCCTAAAAAACAGGGACACTCTTATGTACAGTTATAATATCTATAAGATAAATTATTAATTGAAAAAAGAAATACAAAACAGTATATAGAGTATGCCATTTTGTGTTAAAAGATTTTTAGAAACATATTTATGTGTTCTTGTATGTGCATAAACAGTTCTGTCAATTTAGCTATAAAAAGGGGAACCAGTTGCCTGGCAGACAGTGATGGGAAACACTTTGTTGTTATATATCCTTTCATATGTTAAAAAAAAAAATTTTAACCCTAGCTGGGCACAGTGACATGTGCCTGTAGTCCCAGCTGCTTAGGAGGTAAAGCAGGATCGCTTGAGCCCAGGAGTTTGAGTCAAGCCTTGACAACACGAGACCCCATGTTAAAAAATAAAAATGTATGTGAATGTACCACTTATTCAAAAAATTAATTTGCAAAATCTGGGCAAAGGTCATAAATCCACTACTAAGAATTATGAGCTATACACCTTAAATACAAAAGAAAAGAAACTACTGTTACAGCTAAAAATAGGATTGAGCTAACTCATTAAACCTTTCTTTTATTACATTTGACTGTTTCCTAACTCTAAGTTGTCTATTTTGTCTATTTTGCCCCTACAGCTTTTGTCAAGCACATTATGTCTATCTGAATGGAGCTCTCAAGGTATATACCTGTTCCCTCTTTAATATTTAAGGCTTTCTTGATACTGTGTTTTTTAAAACTTGACAGCTTCAGTTTATATGCTGTAGATTAATATTAGTTCTTAATTAAGAGATGTTTAATTAGAAAATACTAACACCTTGAGATGGGTTATTTAGAAATAAAGCATTTTTGCATGAGTGTATAAGCAAAACTTATGAGGTTTTTGTTTCCATTCATAAATTCTATCTTTGTGACTGTAATACAATTACGCAGTGGACTACCAGAGACTAGTTGATTAATTTAATTGGAACAGAACACTAATAAAAGCACAGGCAAATGTTTTTTGGATAGCTAAAGTAGTTTTTAACAGTTTCTGCTCTAGAAAACCATGTTATAACAGTCCAAATTCAAGCACTTGCAACCAGGTTCTTACAACTAGGAAATGGCTCATCTTTTAAGTGCTGGTTCGCTTTGTGCTTTTTATTCTCTTACACTTCACATTATTTCCTCGGGGGTTTTATTCCTGAAAAGATGCAATCAATATCTAATTCGTTTTCCAGTTTTCTTTACAGAACAAGCATTGTTTAGGAAGACTGTCTGGAAACTTATTTTAATCACACCCATGACAAACTCTCCAGATCTGTTTACCATCATTCAGAAAAACAAAGCAATCTGGACTGTTCAAGACTGAGCAACTCCCTGAATTTTTATACATCTTCAGTTTTTCTCTGAATTGTATTCATACCACACAAAGTATCTGCTGCTCTAGACGAGAATAATAAAATATTGACAATCTCAAATCCAAGCACCATTCTTTATTATCTACTATGAATCAACAAACATTCTTAAAACAATAAATCAATAAACAATTTTGGTCAGTCTGGAATGTTAAAGTCACATTGCATTTTTTATTTTCTTAATGAAAATAATTTTTAAAACTTCAATTATTTTGTTAAATGTAGAGAATATTGACAATTTATAAACTTTTAAAAGAAGAAATCACTGCAGTCTACATAGCAATAACAAATTGAATAATAAAGATAATCGTATGTTATTGAAAAAGTGAAATAGAAATCTGAGGAAATTCAAACTGGATAAGAGACATTTTTCTAAAAACTATGCAGGTAATTTAAAGCGAAAACAGTTTTCTTCAGATTTGTGTAAATCATTTTGTTCATGGCTTGAACTATTTCACTTCTAGTGACAATCTGGCCTATTAGAAAAGTCTAGCAAGACCTTGATCCTTCTCACTTAATGTCTTCAAGGATAAGATTTAGAGTGACCTTTCAGCTGTAACTTTTAAAAAAACCCTCTGGGATGGGACTGTTGCTTAAGGACTCAAGATCCTGTTTATTAATATTCTCTCTCCAACTATAATTCCCTCCCCTTTGCATGCCCATGTCCCAAAATATCAGTTCAATCTTTTAATAGATGTCAAAAGTGTTAAGACAAATTAGCAGAAAAGTTCATAGTATAAACTTTATTTAAGAATGCTATCACCTATCATTTTTTCTTTAGGACACAATCTGAGGGTAAAAAATTGACTATTTAGAAGAGATGAGTGGTCAATAGTTCTCCGTACCACCCTCAAAAGATAATTGTAATATACAGGATTATAAAATATTTGAAAATTACCTGCCTGCCTATAGATCTTTGGAAGCTGAAACAACTTTCTCCTGATTTTGGGAGCTTCAGATCAACGTGTTCCTTCTGTCTAGCAAAGGTCACTCAGATTTCAGTGGCAGAACTTTGATTTCAGCCTCTGTTTTGTAGTTGATATGATGATGTTGTGACACTGCAATCACTCTTAAGGAAAGTGCACTATAGTCTCATGATCTTTAAGGCCAAGTTTCCCTAAGACCAGGAACTGGAAATATCACACAGCATCATCCAGTAGAACTTTCTGTGAAAATGAAGATCTATATCTGCTCGGTCTTATATGGTAACCACTAGCCACATGCAGCAATTAAAATTTGAAACGTGGCCCATGTGACGGAGGAATTTTTAATTGCTTTCTTTTAATTAATTTAAATTTGAATTTAAATAGTAACATGTGGCTCTTGACTACTATATTGAACCACTGTTCACAGCTCTCAATATATATTTATCTGCAGGTGTTATACCAGGCAATTAAAATTGTTTGCTTTAATTACAAATGACACTATGTAGAGAAGTTGACTGGTACAAATAATTCAATCATAAAAGGCTCATTTTTGTTTTGGGATATGTGGCTAAATGTCATTTCTTCTATACTCCTTTAAAAATTTTTAATTAGAAAAATGTGATGTCTGCAAGGTATTACATTTTTAATCTCAAGTTTTATATTTAGTGATTCTCCCTCAAGACCTTATAAAACCAGTTTAACCCTCAATGGGATAATATCTAGTACATTGTCATGGGAACTAACCTTATTAAATTACCATGTGTGAAATGCCTGTAACTCAAGTAACAGCAGGTGCAAAATAAAGTAGCAGGCGGAAGAGTGACAGTAATTTTTAACATCTACACCAGCTGGCAAAAATGACAGGTGCCTAATTCCTCAGTCTTTAAAAATAACTTTTGAGAAGCCTATGCAGCATAAGCAAATATTTTCAAGCTTATTTTTTAGTTATCTTCAAGTTACCTTTCTGACAAAATGTAATACTATACACAAATTTTTGCTGAAAATTTGAAACTTAAAGAGTGCACAGGAACTTAATTTATTCTCTATGGACAAAACAAACTATTATTATATTGGGGAAAAATTTAATTTTTAGATTTCACAAGAAAAATTCAAGAAACATTGTCTCACATGTCCATGTGAAGAGACCCCCAAACAGGCTTTGTGTGAGCAACATGGCTGTTTATTTCACCTGGGTGCACGCAGGCCAAGTCCGAAAAATGAGTCAGCAAAGGGTGGTGGAATATCATTAGTTCTTATACGTGTTGGGATAGGCGGTGGAGTTTCGAGCAATGTTTTGCAGGCAGCGGGTGGATCTCACAAAGTACATTCTCAAGGGTGGGGAGAATTACAAAGAACCTTCTTAAGGGTGGCGGAGATTACAAAGTACATTGATCAGTTAGGTTGGGGCAGAAATAAATCACAATGGTGGAATGTCATCAGTTAAGGCTATTTTCACTTCTTTTGTGGATCTTCAGTTGCTTCAGGCCATCTGGATGTATATGTGCAGGTCACTGGGGATATGATGACTTCGCTTGGGCTCAGAGACCTGAGAAACATTATATAGGAAAGAATTCATAATGTGTCTTTCTTGAATTCTATCTACACTTCTTTTCCCGTGGTGGCAAATATAACTTGAAATTTAAGAGAACAGAGAAAAAGTATCTTCATTTAAGTTCTAAGTCTAGAGTAAGTCCTGAATCTATAGATATATTCGGTAAACCACCTCTATATTCCAAAAAGAAAGAGGAGATTAAACAACAATTATTTGGAGTCCAAAGAATTATGCTCGCTTGAATTATCAAGATAACTGAAGCTAATGAAGAACAAAATGAAGAAATAAATTCAGAAATGATCTTAACTTTACAGTTTCATGAGTGAGCCCCAAGCTATGAGAAGTCAGTGCAAAAGGGAAGGGTGATGAGGTTCCAAAGACCTGCTGGGAATATTGTCAGAAATTTCACACCAAGATCGATTTTTTAGTTGATTATTAATAATTGGTAAGAAAGAATACTAGCTATACCTTGCGCTAGCCTTCATCTGCCAGCAATGTGATTATCCAGAGCTACTCTGCCTCCACCATGGCCATGCAAAACCAAAAGGCAGTACCATTCTCAGACAAGGGCAAATGTGGCTGATGCCCTGGATCTTATATTTTAGAGGGAGCCACTCCAGCCCTCCTCCAGCCACATACCCACAAAGCCAAGGAATCTATGCAGAAATAGAGCATGCTGCTCCAGAGCTGGTGGCCCCATTTCTAGGCCACAATTTGAATTCCCAGGATTCCAGACTACCTTGCTTGAATGGCTGGCTTTAAGCTTTCTTCCAGGACATGGGTGGGATTCTTCTTAGGTCCATCCCCCTAAGGGAAGATTGCCACTAGTGTTTTCAATCCTAAGATCAAGATGTGCCAAAGCCAGCTGTTTTTGTTTTGTTTTGTTTAAAGTAAGGATGAGTTGCCTACAAGATCCCTACAGTGCAGGATGGAGCTAAAGATGGGAATTGAAAGAGGTCAGGCCACTGTATTCTGGGGAAGATGACCAAGGAGGTCAGAAGTTCTAACCTGGTCATCTAAGTTATTATAAAGCTATATTTGTCAAGGGAAGACATAAGAGTATTATTTAACAGTTTGATAACAAATATTTAAATTTATGGTGTGTATCTCTGTTTGTACTTTTGACAAAGGCCTAATAAATGTAGGGGTGAACCTTCTGGGAAGGAATAAAGTTCAGACTTTTCAGGGACAGATATTGAAATTGCCCAGAAATACTCAGTTTCTTTCAACTTTTAAAAAATGATAGCAAATTCCTTAGTCAGTAATCACGTAGTTAGCAAGAGGAATTTTAGTAGCATGAAGGTTAGATTTTTCTTTCTATCCGTGAAAAGACAAAAAAGATTGTCCTTTTCTATTGTCTTCTTTCAACATGTGAAAGAGAAAACATCAACTTATCTCATAATAGTCTGTATAAAATGAGAATAAGTACAATGCTATTAGCATAGTAGTAAGTAATCAATAATGCTTGGTGGTACAATAAAAAAGTGTAACTTTAAAGTAATAAGCAAAAGTGTATTTGGGGAAAAATATTTTTTATACTTTTTAAAAACTATGTTAGAGGTTCAACACATAATATTTATGAAAGTATACTTCATGGTAATCATTTGATGACAACTGGTGAAGTTCAGTTTGAACTATAATTTAGCAAAAATGTCCAAATGTCAAACATGCTTTCTTCTGTTTGCTTTTCCACCTTCATCTGTTAGACTTATTGAGAGGAATCAATGCATGCCCTAAAGAGTGGATGATTCAGGGTCAGGCTTAGGTTTGAATTCTACTGCTATCACTTCTCAGCTGTTTGACCACAGGAAATTACTTGTAGTCAATTTCAAGGTCATCTTTTACAAAATGGAATTTAAAAGAGTTGTTTTGTGAATTAAAATAAATTAAGAATGTAAAGCAAGATGGCTTACTAGAAGACCCTAACACTCATCCCCCTCATAAAGACAGCCAGAACAACAAATAAACTGCATTTAGTGGAAATAACTGAGGGAGAGGACCCAAGTGCATCAGAGGAGCAACAGAAATCCTGGTGAGCACAAAAACTCAGGACAGTCACATGGAAAACAGAAGGAAACACCAGGTTTCCACCACCCCATCCCCAGCTGCAATCAGCTTGGAACCAGGAGCAACTTCCTACAGAAAGAAGGTAAAGTCTCAGGACCCCAACAACCCCAATCAACACCTTGGACACCTACAGACCTCACAACTGGGGCCCCCTGCAGCCCTCACAGGCACTAAGCTCCACTGAGAGAGCCAACTGGAGTCCACATAGTTGTGTGCTCCCTCAGAGAAGAAGCTGACACTGTGCTATATTCCCTATGGCTCAAGTAGCTACTGTGCTACACCATTTTGGAACTGGGACTATGACTGGAGTGTGTCTCGTCCGAGGGGTGAGTAGCTATGGCTCCACTTTATCCCTGAGGCAAAGCCACTACCAAGGCACCACAGCCCAGTGGCCCAACATCCCTGAGCTGAGCTGTGCACCGCTCTTACATTCTTTCCCACTGGGGCCATTCAAGGTGGACCTGCTCCACCTACCCCTACCCCCAACCCCTAGGCCAGAGTTGAAGCAGTACCCTGTCTCCTGGTAAAACAGTATTTTGACCATTCAGAATGGTCATGTCTTCCCAGTGCTAAGGGTGAAGCAGTGCCTTGCATCCCACAAAAC